AATTTGGATGTTGGGACATTTCAAGATGTCCTGGAGGTTCTGAAGCTTCTCCTCATTTTTTTTGAAGTCTTATTTCTCCATTCTTTCCTGTTTGGTTGTTTCTTCTTTCTGGTCCATTCTATTGTTTTGAGTCCCAGTTTCCTTCCCATCACTATTGGTTCCCTGTGCATTTTTCTTCATTTCTTTTATCGTAACCTGCATTTGTTCATCTAATTTGCGACCAGAATCAACCAATTCTGTGAGCATCCTGACCACCAGTGTTTTGATCTGTGCATCTGATAGGTTAGCTATCTCTCGGTCGCTTAAAAGGATAAGTTCTCGGGCATTGATTTGTTCTTCTGTTTGAGCCATCTCTCTCTTTTTTTTTGGTCTGGTCACTCCTGTTACAGTGAGGGGTGGAGCCTTAGATGTGCAGCAGGGCTGGGCATCCCAGTCACTAGATTGTGATGTTGTATGTGGGGGCAGGGTTGAGAGGGAACAATGGTGGTTGCTCCGTTCTCCATGGGAGCTCAGTCCTGTTTCTGGGATCCTGGGTTGCGAGCTCTGCCCTGCTCCATAATCGCTGCCTTACTGGGTGTGCCAGCTGCTGCTTGTGTACTCAGGGTCCACCTGCTGCGATCTTGCATGCCCCAGATGCCTTACACACCCAACTCTCTCTGCTCTCCACACCGCAACCCGCACCTGGCTGCTTGTCTCCGCCCCTCTTACCAGTCTGGATGAATGGGTCTATTTCAACTTCTTGGCTGTCTGACTTTCATTCAGATAAATTTTCTGTGAGTTCTGGATGTTATTCTGCCTCTAAATTGTTGTTGTTCCAATCTTGGTTCTGTGTGGAAATATGGTGCATCCACCTATGCCTCCATCTTGGCTGGAAGTCTCTTTTTTTCTTGTCTTTTTTGTTTTCTCTTTTTCCTTTCTCCCTTTCCTTCTTCTGCATTCTTGCTCCTTTCCCTGCTTTCTTTCTTCCCTTCCTCCCTTTTTTCCTTCTATCCTTTCATTCTCCCTTCTTTTTTCCTTCCTTCCTTCCTTCCTTCCTTCCTTCCTTCCTTCCTTCCTTCCTTCCTTCCTTCCTTCCTTCCTTCCTTTATAGTTGACAAAAAGCCATAGACATGGAAGGGGATACAGATTCTGAAATGAGATGGTCAGAGGGGAGGCAAACAAATGGCAAATGTCTGCTACAGGAATCAAGGATAGTGAAGTAGGGGAAAAAGAGTAAATATAAGATATCTCCCCTTAAGGGAAGATATCTGGGAATATATTCTAGGCATGTTGTATTTGTTTTGTTCACAACTTCATCAGCTATCATCAGCACTCAAATTCCTTAATCCATACCACCTGTTGCAAGGATTTCTAATATAGTGTAAGTTAGAAGTACTCAGTGGTTCTTCTACACTGTTTTCTTGAATTTTCCTTTTTCTAAAGCTATATGATAGGTGAACCAAGAAATTGTAAGGCTGCATTAAATTAATAAAGCCTACATATTATTTGTAAATAGAAGAAGTAGATTGAGTGTTGATTAGTCTGATAGTAGTTTTTTGACAAAGCTAATGTCAATGGTATCATTGTAGACCCCATGCACTATGGTCTGTGACTTTGAGTAAGTTTCTCAAATTTTAAGAACCTATTTTGCAAAATGTGAATAATAATAGTATCTACCCTAAGGTTGTTTTAAAGATTTAATAAGTTGCTTAAAACAGTGCCTGGCACAGTGTTCCCCATCTGTTTTCCTCTTCTTCTCCTTTTATTTCATCTTATTTTGTCTTTTCTTCTCATTCTCTTTTTTCTGCTTCTCCTCTTTCACCTCATATTTTTCCTTAGTATTAGTATTATATAACAATGTATTATATGAACCTTGAATACATCTTGGATGACCTTCTGGCTTATTGGCTGCTTTCACAAGTCTTATCCATGTGTCACTGGAGCCAAAAGAGCTCTAATATAAGTTATATATAATGGCTGTGTCCTCCCAAAATTCATATGTGATGATATTAGGAGGTGGGGTTTGTGAGGTTATTAGGGTTAGTTGAGGCCATGTGGGTGGGATCCTCATGATGGGAATTGTGCCTTTATAAGAAGAGACCAGAAAGCTTCATTCTCTCTCTCTTAGCTGTGTTGAGGGCACACAGAGGCCATCTGTCAACCAGGAAGAGGGCCCTCCCTAGACTCTAAATCTGCTGGCACCTTGATCTTGGATTTCCCAGCCTCCAGAGCTGTGAGAAGTAAATTTCTGTGGTTTAAACCACCCAGTATAAGGTATTTTGTTATAGCAACCCAAACTAAGATATCCCTTAGTATAAACTGATGGCATAAAAACAGAATATCACCAGTGAAAACACTAATATTAGAAATCTATACAATCTTGTCAAAATGTACTAGAATAATAAGGATAATTTGTAGGGAAAGTAGAGTGATGCTTCTCAAAACATGTACCCAAACAAATATAACATGTTATATTGAAGATAAATATTGATCTAGTTTTTCATTTATTTTTGTTTACTATTGTTTACATTGAGCATATTTGTGAAGTCATGTATTTGCAAAGTACTAACAAAAACATTTTCAACAAGATGTGTGAAGTTTTAGTGAACAGAATAGCAATTGACAAAATTAATAAATGGACTCAAGTCTATCACATATAAAGCCGTGGGGGTGCTTATCTCCTTACTTTGTTAGTTAATACTGTTTTCTTTACCAAGGACATTTTATCTGAAAAATCTTGCTTCTTTAATTCATATGTTTAACAGGATGGTGAAAATGATAAACTGTGAATGTTTTTTGTTTTTTTTTTTTACTGAAAATAATAGCATTGTTTCAATGAAAAATAAATTGAGAGGTTATGTGAAGAACTCAGGGGTCATGAATCATTTGACCTTTAAATTTACATGTGATAAAAAATTATAGCTTTATTGGTAAAATCTCACTTTATTCACTGAAATGTCTTTTGAAAAGTAATCCCAAAATTATAAAATATACTGACCTGGGTTAAGGACTCTTAGTCATTCTTATTTCACTAGTGAGTTGTTTTCACAGAATGTCTGACATTAGCTTCAAATATCTGGTTGCACCCTATGATCTCTAGGTGCATTCTGATGGTCTCTTCTTGATAATTTCTCATCATAGCTTGTAATGTAGTAAAAATAAAGCAACAAACACACAAAAAACCTCTTTTTATCTCTATCTACATATTTATGGAATTTTTGGGTCGCCAAAATATTGAGCTTTATAGGTGTTCCTTGGTTGACCCTTTCCTGTTATCCTCCTTGCCCCTCCCCTCTGGTCACTGTCAGTTCTTTATTTCCATGTCTCCAGTTGTATTTTGCTTGTTTGTTTGTTTTGTTGCTTAGCTTCCGCTTATAGGTGAGATCATATGGTATTTGTCTTTCACTGCCTGGCTTTTGTTTCACTTAGCATAATGCTCTCCAGTTCCATCCATGCAGTTGCAAAGGGTAAGAGCTCCTTCATCTTTCTGCTGCATAGAATTCCATCATGTAAATGTACCACAGTTTTTGATCCACTCATTTACTGATGGGCACTTAGACTGTTTCCATCACTTGGCTATTGTAAATAGAGCTGCTATGAACTTTGGGGTGCATAGGTTCTTTTAATTTGGTGTTTCAGGATTCTTGGGGTATAATCAAGTAGTGGAACTGCTGGGTCAAAAGACAGTTCCAGTTTTAGTTTTTTGAGGAAATTCCACCCTGTTTTCCATAGTAGCTACACCAGTCTGTTGGTGGGGATGCAGACAGGTGCAGCCACTGTGGAAAATAATGGAATTTCTCAAGAAACCAAAAATGAACTGCCATTTACAATTTTTTTTACATGTGAAGTATGGATACATAAACAGCTGGAGAATCTACTCAGAAAAATTTTGTTTTCTACCCAGGTATGATCGATTACTCTTCCCAAATGGCCTGTGTACACTAGCTGTGTGTGTATGGTTGCTAAACAAATCACCTTATTTATGAATTCATTTCTGGAAAAGTCAATTTGGTTTGTTGGCAGTGGTTCTGGATGGTGTGTTTCAGCTAAAGAAACAGCCTTAATTTCCTACAGCAGTTTGCCTACTAGGGCGCATCTTACTATACTTAGGTCTCCTTGACATTTTAACTAGTGATTAAAAAATAAGCACACAATGATGTAAATATACTTAATGACACTGAACAGTACACTTAAAATGATGAAAATGGTCGATTTGTATGTATTTTACCACAACCAAACCCCCAAGCAAATTTTCCTATGGGAGAATTTACAAATTAATAGACTTTTAGAGCTGGAATTTCCTCAGCTTATCTTGCAGTATCAACCCTAAAGGTGTCAAAGTTGACTACGAGAGGATGTGACATTCTAGCGTTAGCCAATCTCTTCCTGGTCTTGCCTATCTTAAAGACTAGGCTCCAGCGGTCAGGAGAAAGTCATTCTTTTTCTTGTCCATGTTAGTGTAGCGGAACAGGGCAAACGTGTAAGTGTGTGTGTGTGTGTGTGTGTGTGTGTGTGTGTGTGTGTGTGTGTTGTGCGCTCTCGTGTGATTGGAGACCACTGAGTAGGCAGTCAAGCTCTTCTTCTTTTATCTTGGGGAGAGGTGCAACTTAAAGGTTCTGTTCCAGCAGTTTAAAGGGTCCTGGACGTTTGGCAGCTCCACTCAGCCCCATTAGCCGGCAGCCAACAGACTGAGGGCACAGCTGGAATGAAAGAGCCTTAGATCTCAATGATAGCAGATGAAAGTTCCAAAAGCTCTGTCCAGGCTTCTGCTCTGAATCAACTTTCAAGGGTATAGGATGAACAACTCTCAGGGCTTGTCCGCTGGAATGGACGGTAGTGCATCTTCCTTTTGCCGCCTGCCTTTGTTCCCATTGTGGCCCAGCACCCACGAGCTCATGGAGTGCGCACCTGTGCAAAGAGCACCCAGCGCCCTGGGTTGCTGGAGACGCCGACGCACCACTGAGCCTGTTCCTCCAGGCACATGCGCAGTGGCGGCCTTCAGTCTCCTCCTCCACCGCCTCCCGGTTCCGCAGTCACTTCCTGCAGCTGTTTCCTTGTGGGTCTGGTTGCACTGACTTTGGAGTCATCCTTTAGCTGCGGAGGGGCTCGGTGGGACCGGCTGAGAAAGTTGCGCTGAGGAAGGCGGGGTTGAGCCCGGCCGAGCTAGGCGCGCTGGGAAGACGGCAACGTAGCCCACACTCAGATTCCCGGTGCGTCCCGGCGGTTCCGGTAAGTGAGAGGACCCGGAGCCTTGGGGCGTTGAGGACGAGCCCAGGAGCCGGGGACTAACGGTCCATCTGGCTGCAGTCTTTCCACCTGCTCTCCACGTGACAGGCTTGCGCTGCTTTTATTTATCTGTTTGTTTTTAAGCCTTTCACGTGCTCTATTTGGATATCTGGGCGTGCAGCTGCCTTGGCTCTGGCGCTGGCCCCTACCTCCTGGGAGACCGGGGATTCCATTTTTCGTGATGGCATCCTTAAGGGATTGAGGTGCGTGGTCGCGTGTATGCATGCATGCACATTTTAGGAATGTAAGGTAATTTTACGTGGGCGATGCTGAAGTATATGTAGCTTTGATTCAAGTATGTAAATGGTGCCTTAGGATTAGGCACCGTCACAGCTGAGACTGGAGAACGTTCGCCAGTTCACCAAGGCCTCTTCTCCTCCAGATTCCTGCGTTCTTTGGAGTCTTCCTTATATGATACACCTTGCCTCAGCTGATTACTTTTCTATTTTTCTCTCAGTCCTTCTGACTGTGTTCTGATGACCTCTGAATAACGCTCACTGCCTTTCATTGGTAGAATTCCCAATTTCAGACTTTGCTACTTTGCTGAGGTGCCAGTAACCTGCTCCTTTACACTGTTCCCTTTCTTCTGTAGTTTTCTCCAAATGAGAAAGTGATTAGCCTTAAAACAGTATGTGAAAAGTAGGCCCCAGTCCAGTCATGAAAACTATGCTATGAACATTCCCCTTCTTTAAACAAGAGTACACTGTGAAGCTTTGATTTTCTTTATTGTCCCCTCAACCCTTTCCAAACCGGGACACTAACCACCAAAAATCTTTCATTTATGGTACTGTAAGCATCAAATTGAATGACTTTTATGATTTGAGGAATGTTTTATTTACATCAGCCCTCAAGTTAGTTTCTTTTAATCTAATGCAGTAGTTGAACAGATGTGAGTCACATATACATTGGTCTTTCTATATACCATCATCATTCATGCTTTCCCTTAAGACTTGGCTTTATTTCTTCAGATTTATATTTTATGGTACTTTTTATTTGCAAATGTAGTAATACTTGGTGTACCTGTCATACATTGTTTTTTGAACTTGACATTTTGGTTGTTGAATATTACAAAAAATAATGTTAGAATATCTAGCTAGTCTAGATATCTAGAAAATCTTGTAAAGATAAAATGCGATAATAGGTAAATCTGTACTTGGCGAGCATTTTTTCTTTAATTTGGGAGATTTTATCACCTTTGGAAGGGGGTCTCTTGTACTTCTGTGCTTTGAGAAGGGCCTTTGATGGGAGTCTGTAGGCAACCCTAGGGGAGACACATGCTGCAATTTCAAGTGAGAGTGAGCGTCCATAAAACAAGTCCAGACATGTCTAAACAATTGGTAGCATTTGATTTTCTGTTTATAGTGATGATTTTTTTTTTAATCCAGATGTTTTGACACCCTCCTCCACCATTTCTTTTCTGAACTGGTAGCTTGTTTATGACAGTTTGGTATTAATATGTCTCTGTACAGGTAGTATGTGTAGTCTTTTAATAGCATGAATTATAGTTAGGTAGTTAACGTTTTTGAAAAGTCGTCTTTGTCTTCTTAGTTTTCCTTTTAGAAATGCCCATTTATCTGTTTCTGCTTTCTCAATGTCTTTGCTTGATTTAATTAATAGGAATAATGTGATTATAGAGAACCTGACTTGTTAAGAGTTCTAAATCTGTATTGCTTTTCTTTATGTTTCCAAAGATATGGATATCATATTTCTGCCTAAGAATAAAATAATATTATTGTTTTTATAGATGTTACGGTTAATGAGAAAGAAGTGTTGTTGAATACTATGACTAATAATTTATGTACTTTGCTTGTAGCACATTATTTCCCCATTGCACTGATATTCTTTGCTCCCCCAAGATGCTGAATTTTAATATAAAGGTCATTACTTGATTGTAATTTCCACATGTGTATACTTAATAAATTGGTAAAAGAGACTTTTGACTTATCAAAATGTACTTGCTTAATTTTATTAAATTTATTGTTGTCATGAAATGTGTCCCTGTCTATTGCAGATGGCAAACTTCAGCAACTTAAAATAGCCATGTTCTATTGACTAAGAAAAGAGGTTTAAATAATATTGAGGGAGTGGAGGGAATAGTAGATTTTGAAGTAAAGATTTTAATTTGGGTTAGTTAGAATCGTGGGAACTCAAAGTGTGCGCTGTGGTTTATTTTGAGATACTTGGGGTTAGAAGATGCCATCTGGGTGGGAGGCAAGAGAAATCATGGATAAAATTGAGGAAGGATTGGAACATATTGCACCTTTTTCAGAGGGAAAGAGAATAGAGACTATCAGTTATTTAATAAGAAAGGGAAAAGAAATACCTGAAAGACTGAGGAAGTGGTTTTATATTGGACTTGTGGTAGTGTGATCCATTACCTCATTGGACATTTACTTGATACATTATTTTGTTCAGGAAATTTACCTGTGGAGGGAGAGAAAATATTCTCATTTTATAGGGGACTCATGAATGTAGTCTAGGGCTAAATGAAGTGAAGTCCTAAACTCAAGGGCTTATAGGGAGCAAGCAAGTAAATACAGGCAGCAGGCTGAGTGGGGACTGAGGTGGCCTGGAGAAGGCAGGCTTTGCTGTTGGGGACCATGCCTTTCAGCACTAACTAGCTATTGTTGCCCATGTAGGGCAATGTGCCAAATGTTGCCAATTCTTCTTTCTTATCGAGAGAAGCCATTAGTCTATTTTTAAATGCAAAATGAAAGCAAAACAAAACAGTATATTCCAAACAGAACATAGCTATGGCTGCATGGCTTAGAGGCTGTCTACAGTCTCTGCTGGGAGGAGTCATTGGCTTAGCTCTTTGAGTATTAGTAGTTGATCAGAAGGTATACTCCCCACCTCCCAAAGCACACTTTTATTTATTTTTGTCACATGGTAACTCTGAGTTATTCTTAGACTTCCTTAATATTTAGGTAGTTCTAGAAGTGTCTTAAGGATTCTGAGAAGTGACACTATTTCATTCTTTTTTTTCTCATATAATTTGGATGAAAGACTAGTTTGGATGGAAAGTAGACTGTTACTAAGGTTCTTAGCTGGTGGCATTTTGCGTATGCATGGTTATCAAGAGTGTTTAAGTGTAAGTGTGCTTGATGGAAGGGGTCTGGACTAGGTGACCTTTGATGTCCATTTCAGCCAAGTGATTTTTAGATTTAATTAGTCATGGATGCAATGCTATTAATGTTCATCATGTATCAATGAGGTAGCCAGAGGGACCACAGCTGGAGCTGTGCCAAGCAAAACAAAGCCAAATCGATAAACCTGTTTTTAGTGGAAGAGCATCGTGTCAATGTGGATTAACAGATGGGAAGTCTGCTAAAACGAGGCAGAAGTCCCAAAAATGGGTTGAAGAAGAAGAAAAATGGGTGAGGTTGTATGGTCATTTACATTTCATATTGCTTGGGTCACATTTTTAAGTGAGTTTGTTTTTGCTTTTGGTTCAGAATTGAAGACCCAGCTTCTCCTCACACGTTGGATTATGCCCAAGGCTTTTCTACCCAATGATTCTCTTGCAACACGCCGGGCTTCCTCTGCCTAAGCGGCCCTCATCCTCTCTTCCTATGTCAGTGGCCGCCAGGTCTACAGGAACCTTGCAGCATTTGCCGCAGAAGCCTTTTGGGCAGGAGGCTTCCATACCTCTGGCAGGGGAAGAAGAATTACCTAAGGGAGGTGAGCAAGACTCTGCCCTGGAGGAGCTCTGTAAGCCCCTATACTGCAAACTCTGCAATGTCACCTTGAACTCAGCACAGCAAGCCCAGGCTCATTATCAGGTAAGGGAAGAAAAGAAAATCTGGCATTTAGTGGGGAACATTTTAAGGCTTTACCCATTTTGGAGTTTTCTCTCCTGATATGTCTGGAATAATCAAGGTGGCTTAGTGAACAACTAAGTATTAGTTTGACTAAAAGCATAATGTTTGTAGTTTGAAAGAAAATGCCATTTATTATAAAATGGGATCTTAACCTGTTATACTTAGCTGTATGGTGTTTGATAGCTTACCTGTCATTGTAAGCACATGTACACCTTCTATGTTGGTGAAAAAACCTAACAAACCTGTGATTCCAAGGACAGGTATTTGACACATGATGTACCAAACCCAATGTCAGGATTGCCTAGAAGAATTAGTCTTATAAATATTCTCTTCCCTCTAATACAATTTGCATTGGTTCAAGGTAATCTCTGTCTATGAATCTTATGCTTTTAACCTCTGGCTCTTCTTATGTATCTTATCACTGCTAAGGACAACACAAGTATCTTCTGTAGTGAGAATAAAATGACATTGGAATATTGAGCCTTACCCTTCATTTATAAGAGCACACTCTGATTTCTTTTAGTCCGTTGTTGTGAACTGATAATTGTTTCTAAGATTTAAAGCTTTCTCTTCCATGTAGAATAACTAGTGGAAAAGACAATTTTAAAAGACAAATGGAAAATTAAATTTTGCTACAGGGGGAGGGTACAGTATTTCTTTTTATTCTAGATTGTTATCTAGAATCATATAATTTCCTCTTTTTTGGAGAAAAGAGACCTGAGAAGCAAGTGAGGCCAAATGCCATTGAGTGAAAGGTTATCTTCTGGGTCACCATTGATCTGATTATTTATTCTCTCTATGAATATGTGCAGTAACAAGTCAGTATGGTAGAACAGTGACTTACACAGGTATTGTTTTCTCTCATGCCATTATAATTTTTTTCAACTTCAAGTTTTTATTTACTCTTTGTGTAAGTCTTTTTTGTTTTGATCCTAAAGACTGATGATTGTGTCACTTTGTGATTACACATCAGTATTTTGATAGTATGTTGTTTTCTCTGGGATTTAGGGGGAGACATAACAAGTTGTTCCCCTGAGGTTCCCTTTGTTTGGGTTTGTTTTTCCCTCAGGTGCAAAGAGGTGACTTAATTAGACCTCTCAGATCTTGGCACATGTCATCCTTGGTTCATACAGGCATCTTCTGATTCTATTATTATAGTTTTCCCCCTTGCCCCAATCCCTGCTCTCATTCCCTCTGGGTACTACTTTCCACCACAATGGTTTGATATCAAAGGGTCTCCCTTTACCTGTTTTATCATGTAGGTGGGTAAATGATAAAACAGGTCTGTTAGGATGATCCATCTAAAACCCAAAACTTAGTGTTAGTTTTCCTCTTCATTCATTCTTGTGGAACACTCAGTTTTATAGCCTAAGACTTAACTTAGAAAAATCAAACCTGGGTTTTAAACTTTTTATTTTTAGCTATCCCTAATAAATCATTAAATTGGAAGCAAACCCATGTGTGTGTTCTTTAAAGAAGAGTTGTCTAATTTTATGAGGTAAAACTCTTGGGTAATGTATAATTTAATATGTGTGCATGGGTTATACCTATACCTCCTGCTTTTCCCCCCTCCTAATATCACTTTGTGTCCCTATAGAAAGTGATAGATGCTAGTTACGCATAGAGAGAATTCAGTTTGAGCAGGGTCATTGGAGTATAAGGTTTAAAATAGGTAAGAAACAGAAGCAACACTTACTTAGTTTTATTTTTGTTTTATTCTACATTTGTGTGTGTGTGCTCTGAACTTTTTAGTTTATGAGATTAGTGAATCTATTTAATTGCAGCTCTGTCATTCATACAGTGAATACATAAATTGGAAAATACAAGAAAAGGGAAATAAAGCTGTGGTAAAATTCTCAGTAATCAGAATTATTAAGTGGAGAAGGGATAGTCTGTTGTAGGGGACAATGTAAGGAGCCAAGATCTAGGGTAAACATAGAGTGAAGAAGTAGCAAATGGGTATTAAGAAAGTAGGACCTAATAGAAAATGTAAAGTTTTGGTGTAATACAAGTGTGTTTCTAAGAATTTGGAAGCAAAGATTTGAATGAAACCAATGTTAATGGTAATTTTTAAAGAGGGAGACAAGGCAAGCAGTTTCATTAGGAGAGCAGAGCAGAAAGCTAATCTTAGAAGTGAGATCTGGATTTCAACAAGACAGACATGCTTGAAATGAGAGAATGTAGCTCAAAGGAGAATCAGCATAATAAACCATGAAAGCATGAACCTAACCTAAGTGGGTGAATCAATGTAGAAGGAAAGCATAAACATGTTAGCCTGAAAGATGCGTCAAAGACTGCACAAAGGGTGTGTAAACAAGCAATGATTCTGAAATCATTGGTTAGAAATCCTGAAATCCAAGGTTAGGAAATCATTTCTTTAACATTTCTGGTATTACTGGCTTGGTGGTGATGAACTCCTTCAGCTTTTTCCTGTCTGGGAAGGTCTTTATTGGTCCTTTGATTCTGTAGCTTTACTGGGAAGAGTAATCTTGGTTGTAGATCCTTGCTTCTCATCACTTTGAATAGTTCATTGCATTCCCTTCTGTACAGCAAAGTTCCTGCTGAGTAATCAGCTGATAGTCTCATGACAGCACCTTTATAGGTAACTAACTGCTTTTCTTTTGCAGCTTTCAGGGTTCTCTCTTTGTCTTTAACCTTTGGCATTTTAATTATGTTGTGTCTTTGGGTGGGCCTCTTTGAGTTCATCTTATTTGGGACTCTGATTTTTTTGGACTTGTAGGCCTCTTTCCTTCCCAAGGTTAGGGAAGTTTTCAGTCATTATTTCCTCAAATAGATTTTCAATACCTTGCTCTCTCTCTTCTCCTTCTGTTATCCCTATGATTTGAATGTTGTTACACTTGATTTTGTGCCAGAGGTCACTTAAACTATTCTCATTTTTTAAATTCTTTTTTCTTTTGTTGTTCTAATTGGGTGTTTTCTACTACGTAACTTCCAGATTGTTGGTTTGATCCTCTGCATCTTCTTATCTGCTGTTGATTCCATCTAATGTATTCTTCATTTCAATTATTGTATTATTCATTCCTGACTGGTTCTTTTAAGAAGAAAAAAGAAAAAGTATTAAGTATCACAAAGAAAAAAATTCTCACTGACAAAGGCAAGCACATAATAAAAACACTTGATCAATCAACACTAAAGCTAGTGCAAAGGTTAAAAGGCCAAAAATATAGGAAGGTTTGTGTAATGGCAATAGTAAATTAAGGGATACACACAAATAAATACAAAAGAAGTAAAAAGTGACAAACACATAAATGTGGAGGGGGTAAATAAAAATGGTAGTGATTATAGAATGTGTTCAAACTTAAGCAACCTTTGACTTAAAGGAGACTGCTATAAATATAGCTTGGTATGCATGAATCATATGGTGACCAGAAATCAAAAGTCTGCAAGAGATATACAAGAAATAAAGAGGAAGGAATCTAAACATAATACCACAGAAAGTTATCAACATACCAAAGAGGAGAGTAAGAGAGTAGGGAAGGAACTGTGAAGACCTACAAAAACAATCAAAGCAATAAAATGGTAGTAACTATGTTCCTAGTCATAATTTCTTTAAATGTAAATGAATTAATTGCTCCAATCAAAAGATGAATGGGTAAAGAAGATGTGATCAGTGGAATATTACTCAGCCACAAAAAAGAATGAAGTCTTACATTTGCGACAACATGGATGGACGTAGAGGGCATATGCTAAGGGAAGTAAGTCAGAGGGAGATAAATACTCTGATTTCACTTGTATGTGGAGTCTAAAAATTTAAACAAGACAAAAACAAACTTATAGATACAGAGAGCAAACTGATGGTTGCAAGATGGGTAGGGATTTGGAGAGCTGAGTGAAAAAGGTGAAGGGATTAAGAAGTACACATTGTCAGTTACAAAATGGGATGTTAAGTGCAGTTTAGGGAATATAACCAGTAATATTGTAATAACTATAAATGATGTCAGGGCAGACATATCCGGGGATCAACTTTATAAGGTATATAAATTTCTAACCACTATGTTGTACATCTGAAACTAATACAATATAAAATATCAACTATAATTTAAAACTTAAAAAGCAAAAAAAGTCTACAAAGAAAAAAAGGCAGTGATTTAAAAAGTGTACTAAAGGCAAGGGTAAGACCAATGAGTAAGGCTTACCAGAACCAGGAATGGGCAGAATGGCAAGGATTGTAGATCAATAAGACAAAGTGATTGATGAGATGATGAAAAGTAAAGTTTTATTTCAACTCTAAAAACCTGCTTTATAATTTTTATTTATTTTTAAAAAATATTTTTAAGATTTATTTTTAGAGAGAGGGGAAGGGAAGGGGAAAGAGAGAGAGAGAAATATCAATGTGTGGTTGCCTGTCACACACTGGGCACTTGGCCCACAACCAAGGCATGTGCCCTGACTGGGAATCGAACTGGTAACACTTTGGTTTGTAGTCCAGCACTCAATTCACTGAGGCACACAAACCAGGGCTAATTTTTTAATAGAGAGTGATACCAATTCATTATTTCAGTTATGTGTGAGATAAAAGGGAGCGGTAGTTTGTTTCTAAGCTAGAAACACCTTCTTGTGAAGTGATAAATCACTCTGATTACATTTCTCAAAATGTTCTAGTTAATTGATGCCACTGTTGAAATCACAAAGTTTCAAATTGCCCAGGGTATTGTAAACAATCCTCAATCTGGTTTGAACAGTGTTACACAAAAGTCTGTATCATGTTCTAGTAATCCAGGACACACAATGAAAACTGCTCAATAAATACTTCCCTGTAAGCTCTCTACCACCTTTCCCTGACATCCTGATGTTCCCAACCTGGGGCTGCCTTAGCAATGCCCACGTGTGTCTCTTGCTACCACAGATTTAGTTTTATTTCCAGAACTTTTTAAACCGGTCAGTCTGCTTCAAAATACCCTTAACTGTTCTTTTATTTTTAATGAGTTACCTATCTTTTC